GCTTGTCTCATATTTGACATCTTTTTGAGAGACGTCCGTGGTTGTATGCTGACAAGAAATTTCCTTATGCAATTTCAGTAGGTGTGGAACCAGAGTTTCCGTGCATTGATAAGCCCAAGGGGCACAACAAGCTATGTCTCAGTGATACAATGCCAAAGCAAGAAAAAGAAAACACATTGCTGTACTTAACAGTATTTGCAGCAGGGGTTGGCTAAGCAGCTGAACCTCCCAAGCTATATTTCACCATCTCTCTGCTGCCACAGATAGCTCTGATCATCTAAACCAACCTCCTTACAAACACACTAGGGTACTTTTCCTCAAAGCTGTGTTAAAGCACATCCTTCAGCAAACTACTAAGTCTACCCTGACAAACCCCAAATAATGACAAATCTGCTTTTTCTATTAACTGTTTCATCACTCTTGTTAGACAACTACCTCTAATTTAAAGATCCTTTTAGACTCAAGTTCTGAGAATCACGGTTTATTGCAGTTTTGCCTGCACAACTGGAAAGTCCTTATGCTGCTCATATACCTATGGTTAGTGATGAAGACTCATCTTAACTTCTTCATTGGGTTCTCATGTACCACAAAGAAATGTATTTTCCCCATCTGCTGATTGGACGTTAGAATAAATCCACAGGGGTGCAAGTGGATAATACAAAAAATAATACTTCAGGATTTCTTCTCCTTCCCCTCTTCCACCTGACACCTCCCTGATGTTTTTTCCAAAACCAGTGTCTGTCTGAGGACCTAACACACAGTGCTGCAGCAAAGCACACCCTAAGGAAAACTCTACCTCTGAGCACTTTCTGGTAACTTGCCAGCCAGTGACAGGTTCATCAATAATGATAATGGCTTCTTGTCAAAGAAAACTAGTGCACTAAGCCACAGTCATGCTCAACCATATAAAGGAATCAAAGTAACTAGTGTCCTCATAAGGAAAGTGAGACAGGAACATGACTTCTAACACGAAGAGCTGGCTAACAATAGAAGGATTAAGCTCCCTTTGCTGAAAAGCAGATGGAGGTTTTCCATCGGTACAGTCTGTCACCTCCTTATCAACTGAGAAACAGGGATTCAAGCGCCAACTTCAGTATACCTCACTGAAAACTCTATTGACTGCAGGCTACGACACAGCAGTTCGTACCTCATTTGTGATAAATGGAGCATATTGCAGCTGCCTCTGCAAATATTATCAGTAATGAAAATCTGTATTAAGGTTGCCCCCAAAACCCCATTACTGGATAGGTTTCACATGCTTAAAGCCAGTGGCACCTTTGCTAAAGATTACTGCAAGGAGCAGGCAATCCTGATGCTACAAGAACAATAACTCAAGAATTTAAGGTTACTGTACTTTAGGTTATTTCCTACTTTTCTGCATGGCAATCAAGATGGGCAGATTTGGGGGATTTTCCATATTTAGGACATATTCGTGCTTCTGACTATCCCCTCAGCCATCAGACTGGTCATAAATCAACCAGAAAGCTCTGCTGAGCCCCTTGGGAAGAGGGGAGGCTCATTGTTTATTTGCTAAACATTACATCAGTGTGCATATGGGAAGTCTGACACATGTCAAATGTACCTGCATGAGCCATCTTCACTGACACCTCTGGTACACGGCATCTGGACATGTATTTCTGCCTGGGAAATAACACGGCAAGATTGAGTAGCTCCAGTTTAAAGGAACTGGGTAAAAGTGCTTAGATGTGAAATGTGCATGCCTGTGACAAACATCAGAGAGACAGACAGGGGAGGAGGAAAGATGTAGGAAAACAGAGAGAGAGAGTCATGCGGAGAGGGGCAAACAGAGTGACACAGAGAGAAATCAAGTGGTAAAGCAAGAGTCAAAGCAAGGTGGAGAGAAACAGAAAGAAAAACAGGGGAAGAAATGGGGAACCAGAGGGCAGAGTGGGGGAAGCAAAACAAGAGAGGGCTTTGTGACCCTTGGTGACAAAAAGGGGTCAGACAGGTGAGACGTGGGGAGTGAGCAGAAACAGCTGAGGTGCAAACAGCAATGCAACTGCTTCTATCTGCTCACGCACTCCTGGTTCTGACAAGAAGCTAGCATTTCCTTTAAAAATAAATGTAATGTCATCAACATACATGATTCCATTACACATCACCTTGTTCTGAAAGGAAAATTTATGCCTAATTGTGGTTACCTGCTGAGACCTAAACAAATATGATACTTAATCAGGACTGGAGACCTATTTGTATTAGAACAGCTACAATGTTGGATTCATGACACTCTATTAACACAGGTATAAGACAATCACTACACTCAAGCCTGTGATCAAAAAAACAAAAAGGGTTTGGCTGACAATGAATATTTGGGAGAAAGATCAACACAGCTTTTCTTGAGTGACAATTTAAAACTGATGTTCAGACATTTTAAGATAGAAGTAAAGCAGAAGCACAGAAGGGATGGGGCAGTAAGTAAGGGTAAAGCCAACAAAAAGAAGAACTGGGATGGTCATCCCACGTCACCTGCTAGATCCTGAAGATTTGATATACACCACAGCAGGTGTGAGATATTCTTGCTCTGTACAGAACAACAATATGGGTATAACCAAGATACAGTGCTAAACTGGTGTCACTTGTGTATGAAGCCAGCACCTCTGATTAAAATAACCACGTACCTAATCCCGCACTACACCTAGTCAGCACGCTAACGGTGCCTGAAATGGCTTCTGACAATTCCGATGATCCATTCTGCCTCTGCTTTACCTTTAGGAAAACAGAAGCTACACTCCAAACAAAAATCATATAGAGCTATTTCAAGAGAGCTACAGCGTATGCCAGTCACATAAATGTGAAAACTACAACACAGGGATACTGCAGTTGTCCAAACCCCAAGTATGGAAAATCCATGAAATATCAAGATTGTATTTAATGTGAATATGCTACTATCCTTAACTCAGCCCTGATGAAATACTAGAAAAAGAAAAGTGGGTAAAAATACATGGAAAAACCCACACAGGTATTTTACAAGGCATTCTATTCTAATCTGGGACCACAAATGCTAAAGCACTGTATTCCTGGTCAGACAGGTGTGCAACTATTTTTCAGGGCTACTGATGGAGAAGAGAACAGAAATTTAGCCTTTACCCTTTAGAATTATAACCAAATGACAGTAACCAAATACATAAAGGATTTCAGTGCATTAAAACTTAACAAGGTTAAATGATTTGTTTATGTAGGAGGGAGTTAAAGTTGGTGATATCAGAATAAACACTGACAAAACAGCTTGGAACAACTCTGGTACTCATTTTACTCAAGTTAAACATCCAGACTAAAATTAAAAAGGGTAAACTCTTTAATTCCCAATGTACTGAAAGCACAACAATTTGATAAACAGATACATTGGAACCACGCCTTCAGGGAAGCATCCTTCACTTTGCAGATGGGACAGTGAGACTGACCACTTCTCAGACCACACAACAGGTCATTTCAAGAGTGGATGGAGACATCCTGGGAGGAGTTTTATCACTCACAGCTGGATGAATGAGCCCAGACAGACTTAGCTGCACCTAGAGCAGGAGCCACAGCCTTGAGCAAACTTCTCTCTCAATCTGCTAACCTTTTGCCTCTTGCCCACATGATCTACTTTTCAATACTATTTCCTTTATCTTCTCTCCCTCCTATTACAACAGTATCTCTTTCTTATTTGCTCCTGAATCCTGACTGTCATAATCTTCAGTCCCACTGATGCACAGGACCTATGCATTCTTTCCTCTTCCTGGAGCATTAACTGACCTTCACAAGATTTCTCAGATGTAGACTTGTTTCTTTTTTGTGGAGCCACAGGAGCAAAATGCACAAACACAGGTAAGCTGCAACTAGGGCTTAGGTCACCCTACAGCAGGCTGAACACCAGTTTTTTTTCATTAATTGAAGGAGGCTGCTTTGGAGAGTTGCTTACTCCAAATCAAAGACCTGTGGAACTGTTGCTTCATGCATCCTCTTACACTAAATGGCCTCCCTTACTCTGCCACACTTCCAATTCTCCTTAAGAAGCCATAGGGTGAAGGAAGAAATAGCCCTAGCTTTGTTGTTCTGCCCTGCAGTTACTGAGGGAGCCCAGTTCTTGGTTGCCCTAAGACTGCACCTGACCTTCAGAAAATAATTCCAGCTTTTGTTGCCAAAGGAGCAAAGAGAGACATTGGTGCTATCATGAGCTGCATAGCTCAGACATGGATTATCTGCTATGAATATTTTAGTACCTTGTTTTCCCTGGTCATAAAGTAAATGTAAACTAATAACCTGTTTCATACAGGCATCTAAAAAACTTACTGCAGTCATGTTTGCAAATGCTCCAAGACCTTTCTGGAAATGGCCTAAGGAAAAGCAAAGTATCCATATTTGTAAAAAGTTTGACTGGTGCACCTAGCTGTCAATTTTGTGCCTGATTAGTGGCAACAGGCAGTTTTCCATTTATTTCCAAGCAGCTGCTAGAGAAGAGCTGCAGAAAGATGTAATCTGGAGATTGCAGAAGTCTGCTTGCTGTCAATTTCACACCAGCATTTTACCTTCTTCTATCCCTATTATTAATCTGTATTTACATCTAACTCCAGCTCTTAGTTAGCCTTTGCCAGAGGCTTAACTGTTAGAGATAACTGTGAGGAAGGAGAGGAAAGCAAAAACTGCCATAAATCAGGCTTTTACTGCTCTGTATAATTATGGGGAGGTGAGAAACTGCACAAAGCTTGGGCTATTTAGGAAAACAACAGCTTGCACAGTAGATCAGACCAGGTCAGGCCTCCTTTATCCTTAAATATGAAAAGGAAACGTCCATATCACAGAACTTTCCTTCTAATCATGCCCAGTTCCTACTCTATACAGGGCTTTATATCCCTTTTAAATTTCTGTCCATTGTAATTCAAAGGATGCTCTGATATTTCATGTTTTCTGAATCCACTAAGCTCTCAGGCTCAGTAAGACCATGTCACATTTGTTCCAAATAAGCACTATATAAAAACATACTTTTTCTATCAGCTTTCAATGCATTGCTTTTTAATTTAATATTAAGAACAAGACCACACTCAATTATGAAAGGATAAACAGGAGAACCTGATTTACTTTGCCCTCTCCAAAGTAAACAATTTTAATTTAAGCAGCAGAATTAATACACTTCTTTTCTACTAATGATTTTATTTCTAAGGCTTCAGATCTTTTCATCTCTTGCCTATTTCTTTTATCCCTTCTGAATAGAGCTCAACAGTGTGTTCCAGGTGAGACAACATCACTAATTTAATAAAGGCATTCTATTATTTTCCAGACCATTCCTTACCCATCCTTACATTTTGCTCACTTGTTTTGTTCACTCTACTGTAAATGAGAAGCCCACTCAGTGTCATCTTTCCTTTAGAGCTAAGATGAATATAATTCATTGCAAAGACCATCCATAAGTTTTCCAAAATGGAGACAAAGATGTAACATATACGTGCTGTGTATGATGGAGTATCCTATAGCAGTGTGAGAGGCATTCAATTTATTGCACTTTCCCCAAATGTTCCCAGATATCCAGACAGCCTGCAATCCTAAGAAATCCTCTGGGCTTCAGATTAGATCTTTGTAAATTCTTCCCCAAGTCTTTTCCAGCAAAAGTAGCCTCAGCAGTCTACCCAGCCAAAGCACAGTATCATTTTACTCTGCTTGACATAAGCCTTAATGTCTTTAAGCATCCAGTTGGAATGGGAATGTCATTAGGAACTCAGAGAAATCATCTTCCACTTCTTCACTATTCAGTCATAATGAAGGGTCTTCAGTGTTCCTCCTCCAAACCTTTTCCTTTCAGAGAAGCCAGGAATCTAGAGACAGAAAAGATAAGTCGTCATGTCAGAATCAGGATGAGCTCGCTCTAGCCCACATTCAAGTGCCTGTTACCAAGCCAACTGCAACAATGCCTTCCTCTTCCATGCCGTCTCCAGAATCAGGACTAAAATGTTTCAGCTTACTGCTAAAGGAGCACCATCAGTTAAACAAGATGCAAAACTTGAGTATGGCTCCTTTGTTTTATGGAGCTCCTTAGGGCTTTTTGGCAAGGATTACAATGAAAGCCTTGATTTCTTGGACAAATCCAAAATCAGTTCATTACAGATTTCCAATTCCATGTTTCCCCCCAGATTCAAATGCATACAAGATTTTCTCCTCCATTAATTTTTGAAACTATAAAATAGTATTACCAACTTCTATTAAACAGCTGTTGAGACTTCAAGCCTTCTAACCTGAGACAGCAGCACTTCTCTAGTAGCTGAAAGTACAGATTTATCAATTGCTGAAAGCTTTAAGAAAACTATCAAAACAGAAACAGTTGCAGCAATGCAAAGGATTAGCACTCCTGCTTTTATAGCCAATCTGTAGACACTGCTTTACACCGTGACAGTGAGTTCTTACAAAGAAAATCTACTTGAAACCATCAGAAGCTTCTCTGACTTAAGGGTTTTTCAACCAGATTTGCAATCCTATGCACCTGTGAATCCTTCAAATGAAAGAGATGCACTGCTTTCTCATACTGTATGTCTGTCCCATTGCTGGCATCATGAAACTATTTGATTACAGTCCAGAATAACTTTTAGATGTCTAACTACATACAAGCAGAAGCAGCAGACCCAGTAAACACACCCTTCCAAAACAATTCCACACTCTTATAGGAAATACAATACATTGAAAGGGAAGGTGTCAACCAAGCACTACAAATCACACCAGAACATGGGCACATATAGATGGTAGTGGATGAAAATGTAATTTACAATACAAAGTAGATATTGCTTAGGTTATACACTTCATTGGCAAAGTGAGAAAGCTAAAGAGCTTACGCAAAATAAAAGTCCACTAAAACCCCCACAATTTAAATTTAGTTAGGGTTTTCAGGTCCAAAACTCAAAACAGATTTGCAAGATTCTCTCAGGAATTGTTTTGTTCATCTCTGAAAAGCAATCATCTCTAAGTGAAAAAACAGGCAGATTTTGCACAAAGGTTTGTCTCACCAAAACTGCTTTGGGAATTTGAAAAGGAAAAATGCAATCATAATAACTAAAAAGTAGCAGGACACCACAGCTATAAACTTATCTGCTTTAGTATTTTTTATATCTAAGTCGCTAATTAAGAGTAACTATTACTCATCAGTGATCTGATTGAAGTCATAGCTACAAACAATTTGAAACTTATTCTTTTAATCCTGAAGAAGTCCGTAATAAAAATACCTCAAAACACGAGTGATCGAAGAGAGTCGAAAACCCACAAACACATTTGTAAGATTTACATTAAGTAGATCATTTCAAATAATAATGTTAAGAAGTTATAATGAAATCTCCAGTTCCCATTTGGATTTTATCTCTTTAAATATGACTGTCTACTACTTAAGATTTGTTTTAAGCTTTTGAGCTGTTTTCAGTGAAGCAGATGAAAGTACTCATCAGACAGCTGCATTCTTTGGCATGCGGCCACAAGGAATATAAAGTTAATCCCTGGCTAGCCACTAAAAATTATCAAATAAGAAAAATAAAAATCTTGCATCATGCATCAAAGACAACCAGCACACAAGCAGACTTCTGCATTAAGCTATTATCACCATACAAGGGAGACTTCTTTTCACTGGGCTGTGGGGAGGAGGGGAGAAGGGAGGAAAAAAAGACATCATGTAGAACTGAAAGATTAAAAAAAATTATTTTTAAAAGGCATAAAAAATGCTTGAAGAAATTGAGCATTTTGTCATTTGGGATTATTTTTTCCCCACTCTCCCTAAGGGGCCTTCAGCACATCTAACAATACATTTGATTGTATTTCAGTGTTGCTATTCACAGTAATTTGCAAGCACCTCACAGACACGGCAAGTGGAACCTTGCTACTCCCCACATGGTAGACTGTGCATGGGAAGGTGGGGGAACAAAAAATTAAGTGGCCTGCAGAAACCAGGAGAGTAATTTTGCTAGTTCTTCACCAACTGTACTGAAAACAGTTAATTCAGCCATTTAGGAATGAATTACAAGCAGGTATCATACCGCCATTTGACTCCACTGTTTCTACGAAAACTACCTGTACAAAAGATAAAATGCTAGTCCCAGCTGTGCAAAAAAAAGCTTTTTCTTTGACCTTCAGGACAGCATCTCTAGCCTAAATCTGCAACCAAGAAGCCTGAAGCTGACAGATCCGAAAGAGATCATATTTGCTCATTTTACCTCACTCTTGCAACTTCTGCTGTGTTAACACAATTATTTCATTGCCAATCACATTACAGACAAATACTTCAGCTGACAAGATTCGGCCATTTTTCTGTCTATCCAAAACAGCTGTGCTCCCACAGATTTAAAAACTCAATTACCAGCATAGATTATCATTTAAGTCACATGAAGCCTGTGCTTTAAAGAGGACTCTGTCAGCAGTTCACATTACACAGGGAAAAACAAAACAAAAAAGGAGGAAAAATTACAAACCTGATTGCCGTCTCTTAAGAAGTATCTCTTCTCTATGACCTGGGAAAAACACAGGATGATCTTAGCTGGCACAGCATATGCATAAACTTAGATTCCATTCAACACTCCACACGTGAGCACTGAAGCTCACAGCTAACAGGGACAAGGTCTGAACCCATATCCCCTGTTCCAGGCCTACTGCTTTAAGTGCAAAGTTCATTACACATAAAAGGAGTTGCCATCTCCAGCCATCCCTAGTAAAGCTGTGTTATCCTCAACTTCCAGACATCTAATTTAGTTAGCCCTCTTGAGTAATGGAGGTGATGGTTTGGATGTCTCCTTACTGCACCAGCATCAGTTATTCCTACCCCTCTCGGCAGGCACAGCAGGCCTGAGCACTAGCAAAAGCTCTGCAGGTGCGTAACAACTCCAGTCGTTCTGAGTAGCCCCTGGGCACAGGTGATGCTTTAGAAGAGGCAGCCTGACTCGCTCACTGAGAATGATGCATGCACTGTGTGTGCTGAAGGATACCTATGGAGGCAATACCGTCAATACAATAATCAAAAAGTTATTTGTATCACTCTATACAATCTCCACCCTCCTCCAAAGAAAACGCAGGTCAAATTTCCTCTGAAGCATGATCAGTTACAGGAGGTGATCTGTTCCACTATGATCTCTTTGTCCAGGGGATGCTTAAACCAGAGCATTTATTCTGTCATTTTCACAGTAGGCCTTGATGCTCTCTGTTACAGGAAGGGAGAGTAATAAGCCAATTTTTTTAATTCCTAAGCTTTGCTTTAACCAGGAGTGACAGAGCTAACCATAGGCTTGCAACTCCCCACATTTCTACCTTAGCACACTGCATACCCTCTGGCCTGTCAAACAACTCCAAAAGCATATGCGGAGTGTCTTTGCACATCTGTGAGTTATTTTTCATTGCTCCATGTAGATCAAGCATCAAACCTTCAAGCACATCTGCTATTTTCTGGATGATTCCAAAAGCAGACCTCACCTTTGGCCTGCCTCACAGCTGGCTTGAACCAACTCAAAAAATGGAATGGTGAAAGGAACAGCTCACTGTTGTTCCATGTTCACATCACAGTGTTCAATACATAAAACAATAAAACATAATTTAACTGACTTGACTTACCTTATCAAAAAACCTGCTTAGCTTGACAGCATTGGACGAACCTGCAGCCAGGTAACGAGGATTGGTGCAATCCTAGAACACACAAAAGACAACAACAAACCAGGCAAAAGGAAATTAATGTAAGGAATCCACACACATGGAAATCAACACACCCTTTCCCCTGACACATGCAATGAGCTAGGGAAAACACTGTGTAGCTGCTGATTTTTTTCTCCACAGTCATTTGAGAGAACAGGCCAACTTCTGGCCAGGTAACGAGGATTGGTGCAATCCTAGAACACACAAAAGACAACAACAAACCAGGCAAAAGGAAATTAATGTAAGGAATCCACACACATGGAAATCAACACACCCTTTCCCCTGACACATGCAATGAGCTAGGGAAAACACTGTGTAGCTGCTGATTTTTTTCTCCACAGTCATTTGAGAGAAAAGGCCAACTTCTGTGAATCAACAGGAGCACCCCGCTATGTGCTCCACGCCTTCCTTCTGCCACCAGCTATACAGTCAGCTAATAATTTGGACAGGCTACACAGGAGATTGTGCATGTGTGTGTATATACAAGCATTCACCCAGCACATGTATATTTTTATACGTATAAATGCACATTATATATACATATATATAAATAAAGTGATCTTGATGCTTCATTCAAAGACAGTCTGTGTCAGAACTAAGAACAGGAAGAGAAAACTCCCAACCATCAATTCTAAGCTTCAGTGACCTTATCTAACACCCTCTATACCCACCTACAGTGAACCAAAGACAATCATTTAATCAAGCAAGGGCGACAGCCAATCAACATGTGCATGACACTCCATCATTACTGAGAAAATCTCCAAAAGCTCAATTTTTGTAACAACATCTTTACTTACTAAAATTTGAATCACTCCCATATAACAGAAAACCAACACTGCTGACAAGGATACTAACCAAATTTATCTCTTCAGCATTGAAATCCTCAGCCAAGAAAGCTGTTCTGGTCAAAACTTCATTCCGCTTAGTTTCTGGGATCTGATCCAGCTTAGTTCCTATTACCAGCAGTGGAATCTGATTATCAGCAAACTGTTCACGGTCATAGTCACTGATGAGGGAAACAAATACAATTCTGAATGAAGTGGCAGCCATGTAAGTGGGCACAGGGGCACCATCAGCTGCCCTGTCTCTTTCAAGTAACAGTGATTTATTTATTAAGTGGCATTATTTAGCTAAGTGAGAATGTGCTCTATCTGTAAATTAAGGAAGGGTTTCTGCACCTAAGTCACTATACAGGGATTGAAAGGAAACAGAAAAGAAACCATATGAGTTGGATTTCTTCTTGGCATAGATGAACTGCAGAAGAAATGCTAACACAAGCAGGAAGGAAACAGGAATGGTACAAGTGTACGCAGGCACCAGAAACATGTCAGGGAGCTGTCATCTTTGAACACTTTAAGTTCCTACATATATACACTTTTTAATGAGGGACAATGAAATAAATTGCAACTGTGAAACACTACTCCTTTCCACCTTAGATCAATGAGGGTTGCCATAACAAGTCTGTGGTGGCAAGTTACTAATTCTTCCACATTCAAATAGAGGTAGCCACTACAAGCTGAATTCCAACAAGCATTGATTCAGATATGAATAATGATCAAAGATAGCCTTTACAAAATAACTAATATCACAATTAAATGTCATCACAAATCCAAGCTCCAATCATTCCCCTCACACTTGTCTTTCATTTTTACCTGAACCAAGTTTTCGAGAAAGTAATTTCACAACCAGCAGCAACCACTTGACCAAGCAATTGCTAGTGGCCAAGCATCTGTCCCCGACGGAAATTAAGCTTTGAAATTAAAACAACTGTGAAGAGCCTGTATGTGGAAAGACTGAAGAATTCTTTCCCTTCTTTCATGCTTCTGCAGAAACACCTATGTACAGGCAGATAAACAATTGATATTCTTCCCACAAAAAGCTACTCCTTATTATTGTTTCCCTGCTCATGTGTGAGGTTTATCAATGACCTTAAAACCTCCTCGACTGCATGTATAACAGGAGCATGGAGACAGAGCAGGAAACATCTGACAAGATATTGGAAATCTAATTATGCTGTTTAAGCAGAGTTTTCCAAGCTCTTTTTTAGCCACACTCTTGAAATAATTCCCCTACCACTCAAAACAAAAAATAATTAAGTGAGCTTTCTCAGTCCTGGTGCATGGAGGGAACAGTTTTTGGAGCAGACACATGCCATCCCATGAGACTTCCTGTACAAGGGCTTTGCACATCTCAGTAGAGACACACAAATCTTCAGGTCTAAGGGACTAGACACATTCTCACAGAGGCCTCAGAAAGATGAAGGTCACAGTAAACATCTTTCCCCTTAAAGCAAGGTCTTTGACATACAGTTTAGGAATCTACTGGCAGAATGGCCTGATTGGCAAATCAAAAAGAACAGCCATTTTCTTTGATACCACCCATTTTTTTCTTTCTTTCTTAACAGTCTACCCACATCTAATTTTGTGTGGAATTCAAGTAGCCTTAGGGATGAAAACAGACTTTCATAACAGCGTGGATTCATCGTGTCTTAACCCTGCACGTATGTTTTTCACTCACCCATTTGTCACAAGAACTCCTGTTGGAGCGACATCTCTGTTGAGTGCTTCCAAAGACCAGCGATACAAATTCTGGGACGATTTCTTATTGGTTAAGTCATGCACTAAAATTATCCCTAAAGTGAAAGAGAAGGCAGCAAGATGTTATTTAATGATATGTATTTTTTTCCTTATCTTAACAAAATGACATCTGCATTCCCTGATTCTGCTCTGCCCAGTCCTAATGATACTGAAACTCTGTATTACTGCAGCAGAGAATTTAGCCTTCCTCTGTTTTACCTAGCTGATATTTATAACTATCTTTTTGTCACACCATCTAAGAAGTCTAAAGGCTGTTTCTTTGTTTCAAACAGTTTAGAGAGCACTATTGCTTTCCTGCATTTTCAAGAACAAGAACTAATGCTACAAACTTGGGGAGGTATCCAAAGGGGAAACAGACTCAGATAAACTTTCACAGTCCACCAAATGGCTGGTAGAAACATGAATTAATAAGATTTCATGTATTTAAGATTAAGCTTCTGGCATATTTTCATTACCATGATCCTTCAAAATGTAAATTCTGAGATAGAAAAACAGCCAGGCAAACCTCCTAGCTGTGCTATTAACAGACACCCACTTCTGATAACCATAGTTCCTGACTCAATTACCAACTCCTGCTAGTAAATTTCTTCTATTTATTCACACCTTCTGCAACCTGTAGAATGTTCCCACTTCCTCCAGACTTCAAACCATTATTAATTCAAGGACAAAACGGAATTATGCCTCTTATCATCATCAGGATTCGTTCTCAACACACTTCACAGCCCACAGTTGTAGCAAACTTATTCTTTAAATCTTTCACCTTAACTCCCAAAGGTGCCACCCACTGTACACACTACAAACAAACCACATTTCCACAAACACTCTCCAGTACCCCACATGACTCTGCACAGACTCTCCTATGAGAGTTCCCAGAATAACACAACCATAGCCCTATTTCAAAGCATTCATCTCTGTAACAGCATAAAAAGGCACTGTGTGTCCACCCCCAGTGCAGGGAGAAAAAGCCTGATACAACATAACTTGGCCTAGGGCAACAGATTCAGAGGCATGGCTTCATAACCTGCAAGAAACACTCTCCACCTCCAGGTGCTCTTCCTCAGTTATGTTTTTGATTGGTCAGTTCCCTTATCTGCTTCACCAAAAAACTTACAAAAACTTTCTGCACTAGCAGAAAAAGACTACATCAACATCAAAAAAAAAGGTCAGGTAGGACCCATGGCTACCCAAGAAAATGCTCCTCCACCATTGAGGCCTGCAAGCCACAGCCTTACTGCCAAGTCACTGTCCTAGACTATCATAGTCCACACACCAGATGCAGGGACACCAAAGCAGAAACTGTGCAGCCAAACCAAAAGCAAACCGTATCTAAGCTGCTCAACAGATAGGTCTTGCTGACAGCCTGCACGGATGCTGCCACAACCAAACATTAACTGTCTTTTGATCTCAGGCTTTCAGACCACTGCAAGCCCGGAAAGAACAAGCAGTCAGGCAGAAGCAATGCATTCATCTTCTCTTCTTACATCAGGTCAAACAGAGGCAATTTGTGAGACAAGCTCTAATGAAGGAACTAATCTAATGAAAGAAACCAGAGCCAAGGCTAACCACCAAAGTCAACAGTTTTCATATGCAAGCTGCCTAATAATATCTTTTGCGCAATGGAGATAAATAACTCTAGTTTAATAACGTCATCAAGTATAATTCAGACATGCAAGTTCAAGATTTCATCTCCTAATGGGCTGTTCTAGAATACTTCCAAGTCCGACCCACACTCGACTGGCATACTGTGGATTTGATGTCAAAAAAGAAATAAATTTTTTTCATATACCAAAGAGGCTTGCTTTGAGGGCACATCTCAACTTATCATTAAACTTTATTTACAGAGGTCTGGTTAACAACATACACAAGAGGTACCTACACAGTTTTCCTCCTGGGAAAGGAGGAAGAAATAACTAAATAATCACACGAAATCACAGAGGAAAAAGGTTTATTGTATGGCTAAACACATTATTGAAAGACCCTCAAATGATTTGGAACAAGAAATGAGAATCAAACAGAACATTTGAGACAGATTTTCAGAAGCAGTTGTTAATCTGGTATACATCTATTCTTAATGAACTATCCTTGGATGCCAAAAAGTAACAACTGAAATACTGCATTATTAAGTTTGTAATTTCTTATTTGCTCTTATTACTGGTACAGATGAACTACTATGCCTTTAAGTCATTATCTCAACAGAAGGCACAAAATACTACCTTCTACCTACAGCAAGTTGCAAGATTCAATTATTAAAAATAATTTGGCAAATTAAATGAGCAGAGGCAAGATGGTTATCAGCATATCGCAATTTGAGGGGGGAACAGTTAAAACTGCCAGGGTAGGATATAACTATGAAAGTTCATATAAATTCAAATAATTATTTCCCTGCTGTAGGTTTTGGAAATGAACAGAGAAGAAAACATAACTCATATTTCTGCACGTATATCAGGCCTGGAAAGGTGAAAGCAGCCTTTATGTCTGCAAGTGTAGCTGGAAGGGACCCCACCGCAACTTCAAAGACTCCCTGTTGCTCCAGCTGCACAAGGCTGAAGTGAAAGGCTGATAAAGCTCATCTGCACGTTTGCCTAATGCCTTTACAGTTCAAAACTGAATCCATAATATTCTGCCTATGAATGTTATCAGGTTTTTTCCTGTATAAGTGTACTGTGATCAGAAAAGAGAATAATATAGCCCCTAGACAGATTTAAAGGAATCCTGCCCCAGAACCAAGAGACAGCTCATAACAGAAACAGTGATAAAACCAGATTTACACCAACCAAACTTACCATTCAGCAAGTTGTAAAATACTGCTCGTGTGCTTTTCACACTAGTGGCACTACCCACTGAACCTCCAACATCCCATAGCTCAATGTAGTACACCTTCTCTTCTGGAGTCCCTTCTTTGTAGTCATGGATCTGATGAAAAATTCACATTATGCATAACCACAGCACCAGCTCACAGGAGTTAATCCATACAACACTTACACATTCAGCTCAAAGGATTATTGTACTCAATAATTTCTCAATTCTCATGTTGACACCATTTCAAGTCTCTCAAATAGAAGAGAGATGGAATGTGTCAAGCACTGGCCACTGATACCACAGCTGGAGCTTGGTGAGCCTTCAGGGAGTATCCTTTCCACCTTGATATTAACCAACCTAATGCCTCATGATGTGCTTAGAAATAGCATGTTGCTACAGCAGATAATAAAGTAAGGTCATGACTTCTTGCAGTTGTTAAAACCCACACAGTAATACTGCATGAATACATAGGTGATTACACTGGATTCCAACTATCACATCTTTTTCCTTTACAAATTCTCATTGACATCTCAACTGAGCTAATAAATCAACAATTTTTAGCCCTGGATCTGCTAGGTAGTTTTGCTCTACAGTCAAACAGGACTGCCATGTCTCTTTCTCCAAATTTTTGAAATAAACCCTAACCTATGGCAACGCATTTCAAGGACAATGGGGCAGAGTGATGAAGGAAGAAGGTGTTTATCACTAACCCATGAGGGTTGCAGGTAGGCTGGGCCAAAAAACTGCTAGATGAATATCCTCATTCCTCTGATAGTAGGTCCCGCAATGAGCAGACAGGAAGAGAAGCAACCCTATGGTCACGGTCAGTACCCTCAAATTAAACAAGCAAATTGTTTTTCCCCAGTATGTTTGGCTGACAATCTAGCTGTGCATTAACTGTTTCTCATGGAGGCATAGTTTAAATGCTGTGCCTTCTGACTTAACCTGGCCGCTCCACGACTTGTAACACACCAGTGGCCACTGCAGTGAGGAGAGATGCTATGAATGACAAATAACATTCACTCTTGACCACCTTGTAACGTCAAAACTTCCTCACACAAGTGCTTGGCTCACATTTAATACTATTTGCTCAGCAAAACATAACATGGAAACACACCTCTTTCTGGGGTGGTAAGTAATGAAAAGAAAAATACGTCAAGGCCCTTCTCTTCCCTCACACTTTACGCTAGGGCTACCAGGAGGCCGGGCACGTCACCTACTCGAACATCCACCGAGCAGCCCACTGTCCAGGACGGGTTTCCCAGCACCTGGTTTTGGCATAAGAGGTGAACAAGCGAAGATTTCCCGACACCTGCAAGCGCACACAGAGGGAGGTCACACAAGGGCACGAGGTGACGGGCTGAAGCACCAATTAAACGCGACAGCCCCGCCGCCCTCCTC